AGGTTTGATAAGCGCTCGTTGATTGATAGGAGTATGTCGGAACAGCAGTTTGTTTTGATCGGAGTGGATAATGGTGATGTTGGTGACGGCGGTGAATCGGTTGATGAGGGAGAGTCCGAAATGCGTGGTTTTTTGGCTTTGCGTGATCGGCCCATTGTAACGTTGCAGAGTCTGTTGAAGTGGTGGTCAATGTAATCCTCCAGTTGGTCCAGGTCCGAGTTGTAATCCAGGTTTTAAGTTAGGGTTAAAACGGTTGATTTTGTAGTTGAAAAGCGAGTGAGGGGAAGAAAAAAAAAAAGTTCGTTTGTTTTTCTAGCAGCAGCGCGCTGCCATGTTGAATTAGCACCCAACGCGCACACACACACTACGTCAATACGTCATCACGTACACACCTGTAGTGGTTTTCTAACACCGACTCTAGTATAATGGAAATCATTATGAACATCAGCTATGCTAATTATTTCCCATCTGCCTTTCTGCTGTTATCTCGGGACAAACTGCGATATGTTATGGCGCCGTTTTATATATAAACAATATTTATATTTAATATTTATATATAAACAATATGAATGTTAGCCAGAGGAGAACTGGCCCCCGACTGAGCCTGGGTTCTCCCAAGGTTTTTTCTCCATCCAATCTGATGGAGTTTTGGTTCCTTGCCACTGTCGCCTTGCTTTTGGCTTGCTTAGTCGGGGTTATTTAGTATTTAATATTTAACAATATTATTGATCTGTGTTGTACTACTTTCATGTTATCACTGTGAAGCTGCTTTGCATGGGCGTGGTAGTGGGGGGGAAAGTGGACCTGACTACCCAGGGCCCCGTCTAGGGAGAGGGCCCTTTAAAATCCCATCAAAAAAAAAAAAAAATTTAACCTAATTAGAATTAATTGGGCCCTCCAATTGATGTCATTAATAATCATTCAAAAAAATATTGACCAAAATGAACTCCGTGCCAGACACTCTGGACCCCCTTCCAAATGGTTTAGTCCGCAACGCGTCGACCGCCCATAGACGCAGCGGGTGGCAAACAAGTAATAACGCAGTGAGTCTAGAGCCTGTAACGGGAGTCTGATCTGATCATGCTGTGCAAAAAGCCCAAATCGGGCTTTCAAAAAAAGAAAGAGAGGAAAGAAAAAGATAGGAGGCAGAATGCGGGGAAGCAGCTGATGACTGCTTTCTTCCCAAAAGGTGAACTGAGTTTGCTTGTTATGCACCTAACGTTACATCCAATTAAAGTTAACGTAGTCAACTCCAGACAGCTGCTGCTAATGCAGGGTTCCAGACTGCGACCAAATTGGTCTCATATGCGACCATTTTTTGAGAATGTGATTGTGCGAGTTAAAATTGTATTTGGTAGCGTCGCATATGTGCGAGCAGACGCTCGCGCTAAAGAACACCGACCGTTGTATCAGCTGCTGCAGACTGCAGTCCGTAACTTATGTTCAAAACGAACGAGTAGGCTACATCATGAATCCATTTTCCAAACCGTGTTTTTGACTTATCCTGAATCACAGTACGCCTGTTATAAGTGTTTATATTCAGACTATTTTTTTATCCCGGATTCCCGGGGTTGACTCGGATGCGAAGTTGCCCAGTGACTGCATGACTCGCCATAGACATTAATGGAGAGAAGTAGCTCCGGCAACAGTGTTCTTCCGCAAGACACATAGACGTCACGCGCGCATCGCACACTGATGGTGGAACGCGCCAATTACGAATTCATGAATAAAAATGAAAATGTCTCAGGAAACAAATTATTACAAAATGCAGGAGGTAAGGAGTGTGAGATTTCTGATTTTTGAACTAACTTATAAAATTTGATAACGAAAAATCTGTTTTAGCTTGTTGTAATACTCTAATCTTTTAAAATGTAATGCATACATTTGAATGTTTAATGATTTTTAAAAGATAGAAATATGATGCTAATAGAAAAATGACAGACACAGAAGATGATTCAAATGTAAATAGATAGATTGAATGTAATTCAAATGTAAAATTCTTAAAATTACAGATTAAAATTACTGTCCAAAATCCATGAAAATCCTGAAATTTGGCAATGATAATTAATATATTACAGGTATTTATGTTAAGCCTTTGCTAGCTTTGGTCCATTAAAATCACTATTCATCGGCATGCATTGATTAATCCCATGTCATGTAGCAAAAAAAAAAAAAAAAAAAAAAAAAAAAAACGCGACGAAAATCAAATGCTGGTGCGACCAACTGAGAAAGTTGGTAGCATCAGTTTAACCTGGTTTCTGAGGGTACAGTTGTCTCTCATGTTCGTGTGTTCTCCTATTCAAAAATAAATGTTTTTCATTTAAAACTTGCATCAGTATGGCCAAATGCATCAATTCAGGTGGTGAATGAAAGAACCAGTCATTACTATAATCTGATTTTAATATAGATTTAAATACTGTTTATACTTGTTTATATTAAAATAATTAAAAAAATACATTTCATTCAAAATTGAATTTTCATTTTGCTAACCCGCATCGTACAATGCCATGTGTAGGGGGCCCACTGACATTGAGAGTGTACAGGGCCCAGAATTTGGTGCTACGCCCCTGTGCTTTGAGATAGGGCTGGGTGATATATCGCACGATATTATTATGCGCATCTAATCAGTAAAGCCGGTTCCTTGATTAGTAGTAAATCACCTTCACCTGCTTTCAGATGGACGATATGAGTGTTAAAGTTAATGAGATAATTAAGTGATTAATTTAGTGATGATTGAGCATTATTGAAGACACCTGATGATCACAAGCAGAATCGCTGAAGGACAAAATCACAAATTGTAAGCCACCGTTATGGAGATCAGTATTTGATTTAGTTGGGCTCTTGACCCTTATACTTTCACTTTAAATTTTGTTTGTCTGCTGTTATTGACTTATAGCAGTCAAATGAACAAATAGATATTGGTTAACAGTATTGGTTATGTTTTGACATAATCATGCTTTATCTGAAAAATGAAATCTATTCAGATGATTTGCTTTAACTTGTTAGCAAAGGTTTTGTGATTTAACTGCATATCTGTATTTTTCTTATAACATGTTTAATAAAAAATATTCTGATTAAATCACTATCATCTTTATTTAGAAACACAGAGATCAATAATCAGCCTGTCTATCTCAACTGTGGTGGCGATATTAATCATTGTTGCCACCAATCACAACTCATTAATGTCTCCCATCATGCATTGCGGTTTGAATAAATAATGATCTGAATTGTCTATGTAATTTACTTTTCCTACTTGAATATTCTACTCGTCACCGTTGTTGAGAAGCATTGGCTGAATCTTGAGGTCTGTGTGTGCCTAAAAGAAAGGTTTTTTTTAACAACTTTTGAGAAATCTGTCTATTATGTTTAACATTCTGATCATTTTTGCAGAATCTAAGTCATACACTAACCAACAGAATAAATTATAGACATAAATATCGAATGATGAAGGTCATTTTATGACCAACATTATTTTATTATTGTTTATTTTTGTTCATCTGAAAGATATAACTCAGATGCAACAGTAAATTAAAACATAAAATTTATAATATAAGGGTCAAGAGCACAACTAAAGCAAACACTCATCTCCATAACGGTGGCTTAAAATTTTAGATATTTTTCCTTGTGATTCTGCTTTAGGTGTCTTCAATAATGCTCAATCATCACTCATTTAATCACTTAATTATCTCATTAACACTCTTGAGTGTGGACTCATATACACTCCCAGGTGTGTTAGTTTAACACAGGAGATTTTGTCGTGACGAAGAGCCGTAGTTCACTGACCAGCTGAGCCATATCGCATTAAATATCGCAGGCATATGTCCTCGATATTAACGCGATATGGCTCAGCTTGTCAGTGATCTACGGCTCTTTGTAGTAAATGCCGCTCCATCTGAAAGCAGGTGAAGGAGATTTACAACTAATCAAGGAACCGGCTTTACTGATTAGATGCGCATAATAATATTGTGCGATATATCGCCCAGCCCTGCTTTGAGACAATCTGTATTGTGAAAAGCGCTATCTAAATAAATGTGACTTGACTTGACGATTGAGATACACAGGCTGATTATTGATGTCTGTGTTTCTAAATAATTGCATTTGGAAGTGATTTGATCAGAACAATTTTTTTTAAATATCTTGGACTATAAGAAAAACACAATTATCATATGCTGTAGAACCACTAAACTGTTGCTAATAAATTACACTAGATCATCTGAATAAGTTTAATTTTCCAGATCACAGCATGATTATGTCAAACAAAACCAACACTATCAGATCACGCTTGTCTATGTTCATTTGACTGTTATAAATCAATAACAGCAGACAAACGAAATTTAAACTTAAGTTTTAAGGATCGAGGGCCCAACTAAAGCAAACACTGATCTCCATAAGGGTGACTTACAATCTGTGATTTTGTCCTTCAGTGATTCTGCTTGTGATCATCAGGTGTCTTCAATAATGCTCAATCATCACTAAATTATCTCATTAACTTTAACACCCTTGAGTGTTAATTTAACACTCATATCGTCCATCTGAAAGCAGGTGAAGGTGATTTACTACTAATCATGGAACCGGCTTTACTGATAAGATGTGCATAACAATATCGTGCGATTAATCGTGCAGCCCTACTAAACATATGTATAAAACTTTATGATCGTTGTTCAAATTAAACCATATACATTCTTATTTGATTTTGGGTGATCTCTGCAAGAGTGGGGTGAGAGTTCAAATGTTGATTTGCAAGCAAGGTCCTTTGTCTTATAGACCTGTGTTGAGGTTGATTTCTTTAACCAGTTCCTCCAGTCTTACAGGTTGGATGGATGAACATGTTTAGTTGCATGATTTATTTTCCATAGTGAATTTATGCATTTTGTGTCTGTCTGTGCAACTGTGTTACTGGAGTGAGTTTCATAAATCCCCTTACACAGTCAAGTTCAATCACACACACCACTGTTGACAAATAACACAACCCTATAATGTAATATAAACACACACAATACCTTTCATTAGATGATGGTGTTTTCTCACTGAAGTTTGGTAAATCTCCTATTTTAGAGCAATCACTCTTCAGAGACACAGAGCTGGACACATGTGAGCCTGATCTTACACTGATGACACAAAGAACAGAGAGAGAGAGAGAAAACACTTTAGTAAAGGAGGATCAACTGTGTCTAAAAAACACATCTGTGTCTTTATCTAATCCTCCACAGAAACACACACACTCACACAATTTACAGTTTTACAGTTAACCATCATTTTATATTTACTGGCTTTACTTAGATTAAGTGTATATCTGTTTTCTAATGTCTGTCAATCATTTTATAATCTAAATACAAAGTAATTTATTTGTATTAATTCAGCGTCCAGAAGGTTATTAACTCATTATTAACTGTGATATTTTCTATAGAGCAAACAAGGCTTTATAGACAATGTCAGAGTTAATTTAAGAAGTTAAAATTGAAGTTGTGCAAAGCATTTGCAAATACAGAACAATGCTTAAAGTTGTGTTATTGACAGGGAAACACAAAGTCCAATGGAGTTTAAAGTGAGAGTGTGAAAACAGACGCAGTCTCACCTGTGTTTCTCTGAGAGACTCATCTGAGAGAGAGAGTCCTTTCCTCTTTCCTCTGACATACTGCAGCTAAACTGACCCTGAAAACTGATCAGAAAACACTCAATCCTTCAGCATCACCTGCAAATCACAACATTTACACACATCAACAATAAAGACTTATCAACAACAGCAATATATCAAATAAAGTGAGTTACAAACAAATATATTGACATGTAAAATAACCGAATGGTCTTAATCATTTCTGATTGTTTAATGAGTTTAACCGACTCTAAATATGAATTGGGGAACAGAAATTTACACTGAGCTGGAAAACTAAACCCAGGCCCGGTTCTACGGGGGTGCTTGAGGGTGCTAAGCACCCTCAAACAAAAGTGAAAGCACCCTCAGATTATTTTTTTTATTAGCACACATGTAAAGGAGATTTTGCCGTCAAAAGAAAAAAAGACGGATTTCACATTCATACAAATAATAGGTTACACAAACTAAATCCATTAACGCGATTTTTCACATCAGAAATTATTTCAGTATTTCATGTTTAATGCATTGGATTGTTTCGCGATCATAAAACGCATAGGTGAAGCTGTCTCTTTAATTGCCCACTTGGTTTGCGTGAGTGCGTCCCGCTCAGGAAATTCGTTATAGAGACGGGGCTGCCTTTAGATAGCCAATAAATGTATCTATATATATCGGATTGAATAGAGTCTCTGCAACGGCGGTAGATTGAAGTGCGCGTAGTGCGCGTCCGAGTGAAGATTGCGCGAGCCACAAGAGAAACTGACAGCAGTGGCAACAAGCGCTCAGCTTGATATCAAAAACATCAAATTTAACCGCTAGATCTCTTAACTAAATGAATGCTCTGCTAATTTACTGGAGATGTTTTTATTAGGTAAATCCGTGCCTCAATATTTCCAAAAGTGGTGGGTACAAAATAGGCTAATCGTCCCCTCCGAAAACGACGCCTATATGCTTTCACCGCTGCACCGCATGACACCTATTCAAACACCGGCGATAAATCCCAGCGAGTGCCGACGCGTCAAGTGACCATTTAATCTTTAAATCAGCTGTTTCATTTAAAAGGACTGATTAATTGTCGTCGGAAACTAAATGTCTAGCCTACTTATATTATACTTATATTAACTTATTTATTCAACTGCAGAATAAAATCAGTTTTAATAGGCTACTTCACACATTTGCAATACTGCTGTTATTTGGGGGAAAAGTAGCCTACTCTGTGTGTAACATTTGTTAACTATACTCATGCGATATCCATGATCGAGTATGCATTGTTTAACATTTGAGCACCCTCACTATTTTCAAAAGCACCCTCAGTGATTTGGTTCTAGAACCGGGCCTGACTAAACCCAATTTGTTATATTCTCTATTCAGTTTAATAACAGCAGATTGTTGTTGATTGACGTTAGGCTTCATCTGTCTGTCTACTGTAAGGCCGGATACACACTGGATGCGTGGCGTGAGCAAAGCGTTTCTGTAGCGTGTCAGCTGCCTGGCGGCTGCATTGCGTTTTCTGTGACTCTGTCTGACGCGGCACTGCTGCTGCTAGGTGACACAGAGGGAGAGTCTACATTTGGATTAACGGTGTGTTGCTCTTGCCTTTACGACAACAATTTCAACTGTTATCACATCTTCCAAAATCTGAAAAATAGGGAAGTGGGCTGTCTGTTTATTTCAATAACATTTTCAAATTTTGTGTAGCTTTAAAGAGCCTATATTAAGCCTGATGGTGGACCATTAGTCTACACAGAAGACACACTATGTTGTTATTCTAGCCTATTATATCCTCCTGAGGCCCAGAACCTTTTTTTTTTTTTTTTTTTTAAGTTTTTTTCTTCTTTTTCATGTAATCACATTGTTATGAGCAAAATAAACAAATGAAAAAAAAGAGAGAAAAGAGATTTTTATGTTATGCTATGACCTCTGTAGTGGACACCAGGACTCGATTGTTTAAAAAATAAAAATGACATGAAATTATATATAGGCAAAAATAATGTCAATATTTGAAAACTGATAATTATTATTATTATTTGTTTATATCTGAATGTATGTCAAAACCTAGACTTTCAAACATCAAAATGTAATTTATTGATATGTATTCGTGTAGAAAATGACATATAAACATTGTTTCCTATTGTTTTTTGCCTGGAAACGCTTCCAACACGCTTGCGTGTCGCGTGAAAGATAGGCGTCGGTTCTATGCACGCATTTTCCGCGTGCGGGCAGTGTGCAAGCTCTAATCAATATGGGAGCCGAAATAAAAAAGGACACGCCACGCTGCTGAGACGCTTCTTTCGCCCTACAATCCACCGCGTTCCTTAAGATCACTAAATTCAAGGCTGCTGGTCATTCCTAGGATATCGAAGTCCAGTAAAGGAGGGAGGGCGTTCTCGCATTTAGCTCCAAAACTCTGGAATGGCCTTCCCGATACGGTCCGAGCCTCTGACTCGCTGACACAGTTTAAAACTAGATTAAAGACGCTTCTCTTTAGTCAAGCATTCACATAATGCTTACCTTCTAGTCCTCTGTTATGCCATACGGAACCGTTTGCCACTGAAACTGCTTAACGCACCAGTGGGCAGGGCCGGCGCTCCGCACACGCGCATCACGCACTGCGCGTAGGGCACCAAGTGCTTGGGGGGGCACCAAAAAATCTGGGTCGTGAAAAATCATCACAATAGGCAACTAGTATAAATAACAAATAAAATATGTCTAAAGCATGTTAATATACAAAGGCAAATACAAAAGTAATATAGGCCTAGAGACCAAATTAGTCGAGAAAAAGGTGAATCTCCTATGCGAGTCTCCCTCTGGTGCCCCCCCTTCCCCACCTGCCAGTGGTCTGTTCCTCAATCAGTGTCAAATTTGACAGACACCTGACATCATCATGGCCTCGAAAAGGCACCAAGAGTCGGGGGCGGAAAAAAGAAAAAAGAAGAAACAGCGGGATGATACTCGCGCGTCGCTTGCAGGTAAGACAATGTTTTAAATAAAAGTGTTAGTTTTGTAGGCGCCTTTGCGTCGTGTATGTATGTCCAGGGCAGGGGGCGTCGCTAGTAGTGCAAATGATCCAGGGCTTTCCCTGCATGTTGAATCTTTTATTTTAACGGGGTTCCGGGGATTTCTCCCCCGGGAAATTTTGAAACTTGGGCTGTTTAAGATGCAGTTAGTTTGTTTGAGAAGAAAAGGAAGTTTTTTCGTTGTTCTATGTGGATAATGCGGTCCTTTTCAAGAGGTTCATAGGCCAAGGCCCAAGGGCGACATCTGTTGGTGAAACTGCAATTAGAAAAAAAAAAAAACCCCACTATCTCAGTGTTTTGTATATTTTCATATTCACAGAGTTGTCAAATTATTAGGGCTGGGAAAAGATTAATCGCATCCAAAATAAAAGTTTGTGTCTATATGATATATGTGTGTGTACTGTGTATAATTATTTTGTATATAAATACACATCCATATGTGCGTATAAATTTAAGAAATATTTGCATGTATATACTGTATATATTTATTATATATAATTTATATTATATATAAATGTAAATATTTTATATATAAATAACAAATATTTCTTAAATACATACATGCAAATGTGTGTTTTTATTTATATATATATATATATATACACACACACACACAAAATAATTACACGCAGTACACATAAATATATCACTCATGTAGACACAAACTTTTACTTTGGATGTGATTAATATCTTCCCAGCCCTACAAATTATGTACAGGATTATTATATTGTGCCTCATCAGACCTCCTTTAAAAGTAAAATAGACTTTTGAATTTTAAATGTTCCAGTGACACATAGGCCTATATAAAAGACTAATGTGTGCAATAATTTTGTATGATGGTTATTGATGGTTCAATCAAAAATGCATTTCAGTAGAATCCCTCAATATTTTGTCTTGTATTTCTGAATGCAGGGTCAATGCTGAAATACATGCAACCAACTCAAGGCCAGGAGGAACAACCTTCAACCAGCAGTTGCACCCAGGAACACCAGCCACCAACCAGCTCAGACTCTGCAACAGCACCTAGCCCAGATACAGATACAAGTCTGCACACAACTGCATCCGCTTCTCAAAGCAGAGTGAGTCCTGTCACTGAGGGGCCAAGTGATACTGCAGAGCCATATGTGCCCCCTCCAAATGATCCTGCTCTATGGTCAGCTCACATCTTAGATGCTGATCGTGTGGAAATTGTGCGGAGAGGGCCTTTTAAAGTCAGCTCTGATTTTAATTTCCCTAAGGGACCGGATGGAAGAGCATTTCATACTAGCCTCCAGTTCAAAGTTCTCCCAAATGGAGAAAAGGTGCACAGGAGCTGGGTAGTGTACTCTCCACAGAACAATGCTGTGTTCTGCTTTGCATGCAAGCTTTTTAGCACAAAAGATATAAAGCTGACTGCTGAGGGCCACAGTGATTGGTCTAACATCAACACCAGTTTGAGGGGTCATGAGTGTAGCCAAGATCACACACAGTGCATGCTCAAGTGGAGAGAACTGGACACACGGCTAAAGAAGGGCATGGCAATAGATCAGCAGGAGTTGACACTACTGGAGGCAGAAAGGAAAAGATGGCGAGAGATTCTCAAACGCTTGCTCTCAATCACTCTCTCACTGGCCTCAAGAAATTTGTCTTTTAGAGGCTCTTCTGACCGTCTTTATGAGTCAGACAATGGCAACTTCTTGAAGGAAGTAGAGCTTATGGCAACATATGACCCTGTAATGGAAAATCATTTGGCCAGAATAAAAGATGAGAGTTCCCACACACATTACCTCAGCCATGAGATCCAAAACGAACTAATTCAGATCGTCTCTTCAGAGACACTACGCACCATTGTGAGACAAATCCATTTGGCCAAATATTTCTCCATCATTCTTGACTGCACTCCAGATGTGAGTCACAAGGAACAGATGTCAGTCATAGTGCGCATTGTCTGTTTCCAACTGCAACCAGACATTAAAGAATACTTTCTAGGATATATTGATGTGGAGAAAACTACTGGCCTTAACCTGTCCAATGTTGTCCTTGAGAAATTGAAGGAGCTTGGCATTCCTTTTGAAAATTGTCGAGGACAGGCCTATGACAATGGAGCCAACATGAGAGGGAAGAAGCAAGGTGTTCAGACAAGACTGCTACAGTTGAACCCAAGAGCATTGTTTGTCCCTTGTGGAGCTCACACTATGAACCTTGTCATAGCTGATGCTGCCAAGTCCTCACAAGATGCCACTGGCTACTTTGGGTATTTGCAGAAGCTGTTCAATTTCTTCTCCGGTGCCACCCAGCGATGGTCCATTTTAACAAAACATGTTAAACTCACTCTGAAATCTTGGAGTGACGTTAGATGGGAGAGTAGGCTTCAGAGTGTAACAGCTGTCCGAAATCAAACAAAGGAAGTGAGAGATGCTCTCCTGGAGGCAAGGGAGGCTGTTAATGATCCAGTGGCAAAAGTGGAGGCTCAAGCTCTTGCTGAGGAAGTAGCCTCATTTCGTTTTGTGATTTGCTCTGTTGTATGGTGTGAACTACTTACCATTACAAACCAGGTGAACAAGCTACTGCAATCCAGTTCCATGCAGCTTGATGTTGCTGTCAGGCTCATTGACAGTACCAAAATCAACCTCTCCAAATACAGACAATCTGGGTTTGATGAGGCTGTGTCAACTGCCAAGGAACTCTGTGAGGCCCTGAATATAGAAACAGAGCTTAAGGAGAAAAGGGTCAGGAGCACAAAAAGGCACTTTGCATACGAAGCTGCTGATGAGCCCCTCAATGATGCCCTTAAAAAGCTTGAAGTCACATTTTTCAATTGTGTCGTGGACTCTGCTTTAATGTCCCTACAGGAGAGGTTTGAGACCATGAATCAAGTCAAAGAAAAATATGGAGTTCTGCTTGACTTCAGTAAAGTGAATGGAATGTCCAAGGAGGACTTGAAGAGACACTGCAATGAATTCCAAAAGACAATGACGGATAAGGAACTGGCTGACGTTGATGGACCTGAGATGATGCAGGAAATCATCAACCTTCCTCAGCTTTCACCACAGACATCTGCCTTGGACATGCTGACATTTCTGCATAACAATGGGCTTCAAGAGGTATATCCCAATCTGTGGATTGCTCTTCGTATTGCACTGACTCTCCCTGTCACAGTTGCCTCTGCTGAGCGAAGCTTTTCAAAGCTCAAACTCATCAAAACGTACATGCGTTCATCAGTGGGGCAGGAACGTTTAAGTGGTCTGGCTGTCATCAGCATCGTGGCTCAGAAACTGTCATACGATGACCTGATAGCTGATTTTGCAGCAAGGAAATGTAGGCGTGTGCCTCTGTAGGGCCTCTGACAACTGATGATAGTGAAAATGTTTAATATAGTTCTATAGAATAGCAGAATGGTCTCTTTATAGAGATATAGTCCCTCTGTTGAGTAAATTCTACTGTGCAGTTATGTATGGTTATTTGCAGTTTAAAATGTGCACTTTAAAATTCATACTTATACTGTTATTTATTTCCTCTTTAACCTTTTTTTGCACTTTTAACTTTCTGTGTTTACATTGTTCAGTTCAAAATCTGTGTTTTTAGTAATTGTGGTGGTTTTTGGTATTTAAAATTTTGAACCATTATATTATTTATTTCTTTTCATATTTGATGCCTTTGTTCATGTAAAATTATTTGTTTGCAGCAGTTATTTTGTAAGTAAAGAGAACCAAAACTAAGAAATTCTGAATTATTGTTATTCCTTGGGGTGGGGTGGGGTGCACCACCAAGCATTTGTGCTTAGGGCACCCAAATGGCTAGTGCCGGCCCTGTCAGTGGGGCTCGACAGCCTTTTAGACAAACGGGTCGGCGCGTATGGTTGGGTTGCGGAGAGTTCAGGTTACGGAGAGTTTGTGAGTTATAACGGAAATCATTATGAACATCAGCTATGCAAATTATTATTTCCCATCTGCCTTTCTGCTGTTATCTCGGGACGCTTGTCCCGAGAAAAATGGCGTTCGTCAGGTCCAGTTTTGTGTCCAGCCTCTCACGGGGATTTCGGATGCCCCAACGCCTGTGATGAGACGACTCAACGCCTGTGATGAGACGACTCAACGCCTGCGATATGTTATGGCGCCGTTTGATTCATAAACAATATTTATATTTAATATTTATATTTAAACAATATGAATGTAAGCCAGAGGAGAACTGGCCCCCGACTGAGCCTGGGTTCTCCCAAGGTTTTTTCTCCATCCAATCTGATGGAGTTTTGGTTCCTTGCCACTGTCGCCTTGCTTTTGGCTTGCTTTGAGCTTGCTCAGTTGGGGTTATTTAGTGTTTAGCAATGTTGTTGATCTGTGTTGTGCTACTTTCATGTTATCACTGTGAAGCTGCTTTGATACAATCTGTATTGTGAAAAGCGCTATAAATAAATGTGACTTGACTTGACTTGACGTTTACGCCACGCAGTGTGTCTCCGGCCTAAATGTCTGCTTCAAAAATACTTCCGAATCCGATTTCACATCACAAAAACAACAGCCTAACACGGAAGAGGAAATGGGAGAAAACTTTTTAGAAACATATTCGTGTTGAATAAACGTTTCTCAATAAAACATTGTGTTTTTACTTCAAAAGATTGTAATTTCTGGCAGATTCTTCTTCTGTTCGGAGTAGCAGAAGAACAGCCTTCTGTAACTTCACATTTAAATCTCGCTTAATATACAATATGAAGTTCCTAATAATTAACAAATGACTGTAATGGAGAATGTAATAAACTTACTTGCAGTCTTGTCCACTAAGAAGAGAATATATCAGTATTTTAAACTCAGTAACGCTTGTTATCAGTCCGCGCGCGTCGTTCTCAGAATCTCTTGCTGGTCTCGATGGATTGTGGATTAAACACATGTCCGCGAGTGTTATTAGATTTGGTTAGATTAGATTGTGCTAAATTGACATCTGTAGACATGTTTTCTGAATCATAGATGAAATCAAATCCAGTGAGCGACAGGTTTAGGCGTGGACAGGTGTTCCTTTCGTTTTCTCCTTCTTCTTCTTTGTTTTTACCGGCGGTTGGCAACCAGCTATTGGTGCATTACCGCCACCTTCTGCTTCGGAGTGTGAATCAGACATTAGGTTTACAATCTAATTTCCACATTAAAAAAAAAAAAAAATCCCACCATATTACTCATATTCACTAATTTCCCTACACTTTTCCTATATCCCTATTTATCCTCATAACCGATCATACAAACCTGTTTCCCTTAAAAAAGTTAACAATATCCTAACCTGTGTTCTGTCACCTAGGCCTATATTCAACACTCCTTTAAATGTTAACTCTTGTTCCCCTAATTCTCTCAATTTATTCCTCATTATCACTCTCTGTGACTCATACATCTTATTATTATATGCTCCACTGACTCTACTTCCTGACACCACTCACACAAGCCTGTTTCATTTTTTCCTATCAATTTCAGTGATTTGTTTAAAGCACTGTGGCCCAACCTAACCTTGTCATTACAGTTTCCTCTCTTCTGTGCCCACCACCTAATCTAGTTATTTTTACACTCATTTGAATTTGATATAAATGCCTTCCTTTCTCCTCTCTGTCCCATCTTTCTTGCCACATTTGGTTAGATTATTCCCAGACAATACTTTTAACCTCTGCTTTACTTATTTTAATATGCATTTCTATATTTTCCTTCTTTAATGCCCTTTTCGCCAATTCATCCACCAGCTCATTCCCTTTCACCCCTACATGTGCTGGAACCCACATAAATTGTACCTGTCCTCCTTGATTTTTTATCCTTGTCACTGACTGAAGGACTTCATACAATATATCCTGACGGCTCCCAGAATGAAAAGATCTTAAGCTCATTAGGACTGAGTATGAATCTGAGCATATCAGCACCTTTTCTTGCCTTGTTATTTCTTCCTTTCGTTTTGCTGTTCTTCGTGTGTTTTACAGGAGGGTTTGGAACAGCTGAACAGTGTCACAGCGACACCTACTGCGGGATATTACACCACATATATCTCTTAAGGGGGGGGGGGGGTTGACTGCTTTTTTTCTTTGCATGATTGTGTTTATGGGGTACAATATAACATGTATTCGTGTTTTTTCTTTTTTAAAAAGCCTTATTTTTCATAAATTTCACCTTTTTTGTCAGCCGCTTTCTCCTCTGTCATATAAGGACCGGTTGACTTCCTGATTCTATGAAACCACTCCCCCAGAAACAGGGAGTGGGCTCAGACTGGTTAGTTTGGGCCGGTGTGTTGTGATTGGCTAAACTGCCGCTCACGTTGTCTGGATACTTAATGCCTGTGGCGAGGGGGGCGTGGTTCAGCGAAGTCTGTAGTGGGACTGTGGGAGAGCGGGGACGGAGCCGAGCGATGAATAAGAGGGTCAAGTTCAAATGACAAACACCTGATTTCAGTCATTGGCGTGAGGAGAGCGCATATAAGCGGGCCGTGCGGACAACAGTTGTATTCAGAAAAGCTGTATTCAGTGGGAAGATTATTATCACCATGTGAAAAGAGTTGTGTAAATAAAAGTGCATGAGTCCCAGTATTCGCCGACCCTGTGTCTCCTTTCATCACCCACACATAACGAACCTGTTCTTACATCACAAAGTGATGATAACGTATATATACATGAAAAATACATTTATAAAATGAGTACATATACAAATTCAGGTCCAAAATGTTTGTATGTGTTTGTCGTAGACACAAAATAGCATAACTAAGTGGATATAAAGCCAGCACTGGCATTTGACAAAACTAAAACATTACATCTGAAATTATAGATGCAAATACATTTAAAATGATTAAGTCTTAGCCTACTTACAGGTTGTGGCCCAACAACTGCTGCCTCTTGTTTTAAAGTCGGAACTGCTTCATGTTTTAGTAACAGTTTCTTGTTGAATCCGGTGTTGAACTCGTGGAGATTCTGGAAGCTGTCTTCCGTAAAATGTGCAGCACAGAGAGCTAGATTATGATCGTCATTTTCAGGAACATAATCAAACATAAATTGTATCCATTGTTGACAAAGTACAGCATCCATGGGAAGCTCGAACACAGAAGACCTGACAGCTGGGTGAACAACTCACTCGACAAGTCGCAGAAGTATGGCCATGCCCTTTTCTGCTTATTCCGGAGGGAGTGGTTGATGCAAATGTGGGGGTTAGTGACGTACCATAACCCAGGTGTAGTCCCAATCGTGTCGTTTTTGTAGGCAATTATACTTCCTGGTTTTTAAAAGACAATATCTCTGCTTACAGTGAACTTTCAGCGCTGCAACTTTGCAGATACTGTTCATGCACCAACAGCAACATTACACACTATTTAAAATGAAAAGGAGAAATTGCAGTCAACCCCCCCCCCCCTTTAAACAGTTACATGCATTTGAAAAGCTTTACATTTTTATTGTTTTTGTTTTGTGATCTCGTGTGTGAAAAAGTTTCGAAGATCAATATTATAAAAGGTAATAGATGAGGGTTTCTTTTGAGTTATTTTTGTTTTATATAAAACTTTGCCAAAAGAATAATAATATAATATAGTTATTCATGAATTAATCTATTATACGCTGGACTTCTCCAAAAACGGGATGAATACAATAATAGTGTTTGTTTCTCTATGAACACGAGGAGGTCCTTTCGTTTGTCATGTTCTTGTATGCAGAATGCAACAGATCTACATTTGTCAAGTCATTTAAATTGTAATTGAGACACAATGAGCTTCATGTTCACTGTGATTTATAGATCCATCCTACACGTATTATTAAAATTTATGATCATCTCACATCAACATGCATCAACATCAAAAGGGGGATTGGTGGAGTGTCTCTGTCCCAACACCTCATCCATGAGGACAAACCAGGGCCAAGTTTCAGCAGTGTGTTTCCCACGCACCCTCACCTGTCCCAGGACACTTGCAGTCCTAAAGCAGAGCAAATAAAGCACGCCTGTTAAGAACAACGACGGCACAATACAGTTAAGCAAACATGTGTGTATTAGCTTTCTTACTTTTTTTTTTTTTTTTTTTGCCTGCATGGGAGTCTTCTTCCCCAGCAGAGACATTTCCTCCAGAATTGCTCTAAAAACAGAAAAGGGTACTCGTAAAAAAATATCAACACATGGGTGCAATCTTAACATTAGTGCATTGTTAACACTGCAAAATATGACACATAAGGAAAATACTTCAGAAATCATATTTCTGGACACTCAAATGTAAAACCTTTATAGACACAGCTTGCATGACAGCTACAAAAACACATAAAAGTGAAACCCCATTGCCATAAGACTGCTTTTCCTATATTGTTGTGGGCTTTAATTCGGTAACACTTTAGATTAAAGCTCGGAAAGTACTGGTTTGTTCAGTAATACTTTACAATAAGATTCACTAGTTAACATTAGTTCATGTATTTACTAACATGAACTAACAATGAACAATACATTTACAGTATTGATGAATCTTTGTTAATGTTAGTTCATATAAATCCAGCTGTTCATTGTTTGTTCATGTTTTTCACAGTGCATTAACTAACGTTAACTAATACAACCTTTCATTTTAATAATGTATTAGTACATTTTGAAATTAATTAACTAATTATTAGTTCATGTTGTTAGGGGTTAACAGTCAAAGACCCAGAACCAGATATGAAGGATGAAGACCCGGAGTCAGAATTATAAAAAATTAAAGAAAGTTTTACTGAACATAGTTTTCAGTTTTATCAGCAGAAGTCAGCTTCAAGACTCACTCAGGAGTTCGTAGGCCACCCCCTTACAGTTACAAAGATCACAGCAGTTATACCATTTCCAAGGTATAAGCTACGTCATTGCTTACAGGTTGAATGAATCTCATTGGCTAAGAAATAGATAAACACAGTAATTTTCCACAGATAGACGAAGCATATCTCCATCGATGATGCATCTGACACTCAGAGGCACGTCATGACCTTCCAGGTCACAGATTGTGAATATGTCCAGAACAACAACTCAGTCAATCTCCAATAATGGCAGTGGTTCCTTAACCTGCAACCAAGAAGACTAACACTAAACTTTAGTCTAACTGGAGTAAGACTTTAACAAAGAAATGGTGCCTTTAAACTATGGCTTCAATGACCCCTTTATGTTTTAACACTTAAACACAAAGCAAATCCCTATTTCCCTATTATTTTCACATAGGACTCTAGCAAATAAGAGCTCCTATCAAGGCTGAAGAGAGTCTGAGCGGCTTATTATCAGTTAAGTGTACCAAAACATAATGGTAAAACATTCACTCGTTTGGGAGAAAAACAGATAACATTTGCTCCTCAGAAAGCAAATATAATAGAAAGAATACATTTTAATGCAACAATTAAAGTTCAATATAGCAATGCTCAATAGAGCTTGACCATCTGTACAGAGAAGTATCATAAGTGTTGGACATATGTGTTCATGACGCCTTTAGGATCCACAAACATTTCTCCTGAGACAGAGAAAGAGACAAATGGCCTTGTGCACCTAAAAGAAGCTGGTGACTTACATCAGCATGCATTTAAGAATATTATTTCACAAGCAAAAGCACAAAGAATAAATTTATATGTCAATAAATGATTAAGTAATCATGAATATACTTAATTATTGATTTTATAAAAGAAATACATAAGCATTCAAAAGGATATATGATATATCTTACCTTATTTTCTATTATAATTAGGATATACATTATAGTTTTAAGGTGATTTTATAACTCCCGTTTAATGCTTTTAGTCTGAATATTTCCTTTTTCCACATCTATACTGAGACATTTGGTGTATTAGGAGCACATTTACCAGTGTGATGTTCTCGTTCAGATGTCATCACGATTGCTTGGTCTTCATCTGTTTGTCCAAGTTCATCACCTTCATCATTCACTCACCTGTGTCTTCCTCATCTTCATCTCCAAGGGTTTCTAATGTG